GGCCGAGTAACTTAACAAATTAATATATTAAAATTAATACCGTCAGATAAATGATCTGAAACGGTTGCATGAGTAGGAATTATTCCCGTACACCTCATAAAAATGGATACATAAATTTGAAACTTGAGTTTAAGTCTTTACATTATTGTTGGAAATTAAGCTCTAATAATATTTCGGTGAGTTAAAAATGAAAATGTGATGATTTTTTTTCATATGTAAAATTTGAATTTATTCATAAAACAAATGCTCGATATGATGAGTTAAGAAGTTCTCTACCTTTGGCCCTTTCGAATATCTTTTACATCCATTAAATACACTGTCGTTCTCTTTCGTCACATAGAAATTAACCTTTATGCCGCAGAAAAAAAAATACAAGGGCAATTAGCTAAGATGTTTCTAAAATCAATTTCTACTGGTTGCCATTTTATTTTATTTATTTATATTACATTGAGTACTTAATGTGAAACCTAGCATAAAATTAGCAAAAAGGATCAGCCCAGCAGACTAGATCGTCATCAACCAAAATATTGTCTCAGAGATACCTCAATAGTGCACCTAACACATATTTGCTGTCTTCATATTAGATAGATTGGATAGATATGTAACGTAAGTTATTAAAATTTCAAAATATCAAGATCAGAGGAAAAATAATAATAAAATAGATAAAAAAGAATTAAATGAACAAACTTCATCAAGATAAAAATGACAAGTCGATGATTTGGGGGTATAGCTCAGCGGTAGAGCGTTCGACTACCAATCGAAAGGTCCCGGTTAAAATCCGGGTACCCCCGTGCGTAATCTTTTCGAGTTAATTTTCTTAATCGAACAACTAAGAGGAACTGTAAAAAAAAAAAAAAAAAGTATTATATAGAGACTGCCCCCCGATAGAAGTGAAAACTTAGAACTTTTTTAGTATTAAAATTTGAAGTTTCATCATGTTTGAATTAAAATTATCAACATCAGTCTGATTTTCACATCTATTGACACTCCGAGCAACAATCATATGTGTGTTTAAATGGTTTTTTATTATTCAAATATATTACGGGGCTGTACAAGTCATGACAAAATATAAATACAATTCAATTGAAATAACAATTAATATACTATCATATTATTTATGGATAGCATTTGTATATTTACTTAAATTTCAATGTACTTGATTTTTAACATTATTTTAAATGTTTGCATCAATTTCGTCATTAATTTCAACAATACTTAGACTTTTTGTACTTTCAATTATTTCATTTTGTTCTAAAAAAGATACAATAGGCTTATGGTAACTAAAGTAAGAAAAAGGAAAATGTTTGATTCAAAATTATCTAAGTATCGCGTAAAAACCGCATCGATCGTCGTTTTATATTTTGTAGTACTGAGTTTTCGATCATTGGACATATTTAA